CCCCAATCTCCCCTCCCCCCCCAGATCCACATCCAGCGACCGTCCCACATCGTCATCCCCTGAGCGGAGCCACCCAAGAGCCAGTGGCGAGCAAAGGGGGACGTGACGGGTGGGTGGAGGGTCTCTGGATGGCAAGCACCAGGAAACCCACCATCCTCTTCCTCCCCGCGTAGCTGTTTACAACGGTCCTTTTTATAGTTGAATAAAACGTTAATTTTATTGTCACCTGCCTGTTTCGGCACACTGTCGGGGACACGGAAGGTGGTCCCGTGCCTCGCGAGGGGGCTGTGGGCTTGGCTGAAGGATGGGGCCGGTGGTGGGATGCAAATCGCGCCAAAACCCACCCCCAAAACAGAAAGCGAAAGCATTCGGGAGGAGTGAATTGCTGAGCGAGCGATCAGGAATTGCCATCAGATCACTCCAAAGGTGCAAGTCTGATGGGTGACGCACGTGGGAGAATTCGTCCTTGCCCTCGCCCCCGGGGTTAAATATCAGCCCAGGGGTTCATCCGTGCCTCCTTCCCATGGGGAAGGGGACAAAGGGCTGTGGGGTGGAGGGCAACCGCGGTGGCTTTGGGGGAGGGGACGTGGAGGGGGTCCCGAGGCGGTGCCACCCACGGCACCCAGGGACGGTGGGACCATCGGGGGGTCCCGAGGTGGTGCCACCCCTGGATGGTGGGACCATCGAGGGGGTCCCGAGGCGGTGCCACCCACGGCACCCAGGGACGGTGGGACCATCGAGGGGGTCCCGAGGTGGTGCCACCCCTGGATGGTGGGACTATCAAGGGGGTCCCGAGGCGGTGCCACCCCTGGATAGCGGGACATGCAAGGAAGGAAACAGGGTCTGACGTCACCCATCCGAGCATTGCCTCCACCCCACGCAGGTGTCCTTGGGGGTTGTCACCGCGGGGTCACCGCTGTTCCCACAGAGGAGCGGGAAAGGCAGAGCACGCCCAGGCTCGCGTGATATCGCTTGGGCACCCATCCAGTCCACACCCAGCCCTGTCCCCGAGTGCTAAAATTAGCAATTTTATTTTTTTTTTCCACCTTACCTGGCAGCTGGGAGGTGTCGGGCGAAAATAGCCTGGGGGTGTGGGCAGGTGTGGCCCTGATCCGACCGGCAGGTCCTGGTGTGGGGGAGGAGGGTGTCCCGTGGGCAGTAGGGTGGGGGTCCTGGGTGGGTGGGGGGTGGCACCCCAAAAAAGGGCTGCAAAAGGGGTAGGAACGGCCTCTTGCCCCCTCCCCAAGTCTACAATGGGGTTGTCCCAGTACAAACCAGTGTCACCAAAGCCTTTCCAGTGTCTTTATTGGGAAGAAGGAGGGGGGTCCAGCCCCGGTTTTAGGGGGGGGATATCCTCACCCTTGAAGTGCGTTTGGGGAGGGAGGGAAGTGGGGGCATGACCCTGGAGGTGGGGGTCACGGCCCGAAAGTGCCAATGGGTGTGAGGTCATGACCTGTCCAGCGATGACAATTAGTGAGGTCACCACCCTAAAATTGGGGTCATGACCCTAAAAGTGCTCACAAGAACAGGATGAAGACCCCTGGTATGGGGTCAAGGCCCCCCCCCCCCCCCCCCAAAGGGGGCGGGCGC